TCTATTAATCAACTTGTAAATTATTTAGAGAGCCATGCGCTGTCTTCAGCTAGTACAAACACACTGCATGCAAAGACTTGCTGAAAACCAATGGAGCTCCCAAAGGGTCTCTCTCCAATGTTCAGACAGCTTGCAGCTCGCCAGTACAGCGCTGTTAAAAACAAGAAATAACACTAAGCTTACCTCCTCAGATATAAAGATTTACTCAGCCTTTCAACTCTGAAACTCTTTGCAAGTTTTTAACAAAGAGGAAGCTGCTCTATTGTCAAATCTGTACTTCACACTTAGTGATGAGAATATTAATTTGATGTCAAAAAAAACCCCAAGTGCTTTCAGTGAGACTGTGATCACAATCACCAGGGGACCCCAACTTTCACAGGCTACACCAAAAAGCACCCCTTTAAAACCATTCCAATTTAAAATAAGGGGGGGGAAAAAAAAATCTACATTTGTACAGTAATAGTTTTTATTAGAAAATAGGAGAAATTAGGGAATTCCAGATTTTACCCCCCACATGCAGACTGCCATTGGGGACAGCTTCAGATATTACTACTTAAAAAATAGAAAAAGGAAGGGGAAAAAACCAAACACAGATTGTGTGTGTTCAACTCTAACAGGCTGCAAACAGTGCAATGTTAGCTGTCTTCCATGAATCAGCTCTCTATACCACCTGAATCTTCATTCTAGCAAAAAAAAACCAATTACCTGAACTAATAGCAGTTCTCCCAGCTGAAAAGCAGAATCTTACTGGTTTGGGAGTGGGGTCTTTTCCTGTCATCTCACTTTCTTTGGTCCATTTATTGCAGTCTTTCAAACAGATATATTAATTAGCAGTGATCACTCCATGCTATTTTACCATGAAAACACGGAAAATCGGACAGAATTTCTTTTCAACTGACTGATGACCTTTCCTATTTTTGTCATGCCCCCAGTGCCAAAATGCTTCTGCTTCTATTTTCATTAAATAAAATACAAACATCTCAAGGGGCAAACACCGGGGATATTTAAGAGGGAAAAGAGCAGATATGCTTTCCACATTTTTTTTTTTCTCCCAGGGTATCAAATTCTGACAGACACCTTTAAAACGGTGAACATAGATCCTGCAGATGGAACTTTAAATTAATGCGTGCCCATGTTTTCAATGAGACGGGTCCAGAAGGCAGGCTAGCCCTCCCCAGAATTACAGCAACCTGAGGACACGAGCTCTGCATAAAGGTCTTCATCAAGCCCGTGGAGTCTATGAACGGGCTATCTACATATGCATCATCTGTCCACAGCCTGAATTCCTAGAAGGGGAGGGACCAGTCTATGGAACGGTCTCTTCACAACATGTCAGAAAGAATCAATCTGAATGAATTAATTTCTGTGAGTTGTCTTGCTGCCTGTGGAAGAGCTCTATGCTCACCACTTACTCCAACTGGAAGTCTTCCTAGGCTGCCCAAGCAAACGGTGAGTGCTAAATTTAGCGTTATTGAACAAGATTTAAACTAACTGGAGTTAGTGACCAGAAGACTGGTCTCAGACTCCAATGCAGGTAATGTTATGCCCAGAGTACAGTTAGCAATAATTGCCCAGTATTCAGTGGAAACCACAGTATCCTAAAGGAAAAGTCTGTGCATTTCAGACTGGTTGTCCAAAGAACAACTCTACATTTATGACAGAGAGAAAGCAGTCAGGTTGCTGAACTTTTCACTGAAAATGCATTTTTCAGTATCTACTGTGCACCAACTGTAGATTAGAATGCCCTGGGAATTAAAATCTAATGGGCTCAAAAATATCTATGCTACCTTCATTACACAAAATAAATCACCATATACAAAATTGAGAAGTTTGATAAAGCAGGAGATAAGGTCTTTATGAGACAGCAATCACTAGAAAACACAGAAAATGGGAAGGCACTGAGTTGCCTTCTGGGGTGAATAATTGTCTGGGCTGTTGTCGAAATACATGTTGTATACATGAAGCAGCAGTACAGGAAAAAACAATACAAAGAATGTTTGTGAATCCTAAACCCAAGAAACGATTTGAGTTAGTCAACCAGAACTAGAACGGAATAGACAGTGGACAGCCTCAATAACTCGATAACGAGTTAGCTTTGAATAAGCTGGGGTTTGAGCCTTTTTATGACACCAAAACATAACCCGTTGGCATATCTTAAATGACTAATTGTATGCAATCAATTGTGTCCACAAGAAGGGAAACCACGCAGAGCAGTCCCTAGGGCAAGCGTTTTAAGAATATATGAGGCGTATCCTCAAGATTTTATGGCACTAGTTTCATTTTGACTAGTAATGATCTGAGCGCAATATTTTTTGTGATCCGTCTTTAGTTCCAGCATATTCTGGGGTAATATCACTTGCATGATTCCTCACCCAAAGGAACAACTAAGATTATTTAGCATATAACTAGGAATACAATGAAAATTTTGAAGTTTTAATTGCTTTTCCAGTTATAACACTGTCTTCTATTGACTAAACTCTTTTCAAATGTGATTTTTTTGAATCTAGTCAACAATAGTGTGGGTATCTTTCCTCTGTATTAACCTGTTTGTAACTCTGTAGCAAGACAGCAAGGATTCTTTGCCCATCTTTCCTCTTCAGTACACTATGTTGTTTCATTTTCTCCAAGCCTCTTGTGAGGGCAGTAATGAATTCTTGTTAGTGTTTACTAATGTAAATTCATTCTTTGTTATCCCTGGGAGAGGAGGATTAGCAAAATGACAGAACTTATTATTTCTGGTATTGCTATATAATATTTATTTTTATTCAGCCTTTAATTTTGTAGCATGTCCCACCAAATAAAATATATGTGCACATAAGCAAAAACTAAGGGAGAATTTTTTACCACAATGCACTGAAATATAGTTATGACTTCCCCATTAACATTCAGAATCATTGTACAGCTTTAGCCTTGCATGTTTTATTAAAAAAATTAATCTAAATCTGAAATAATTTCTAATTTGGAGGAAGAAAGGAATTACAGCTTCAATTTCATTTTCCTAAAATGAAAGCAGCTCCCTTGGACTAAGGATGTGCATATTTTTAGGACTGGCTAAAAGTTACAATCTGTGCAATTATTTTACTCTACTGGGAATGCTTTTGGTGTTTCCTTTAAGGAACTTTAATGGTTAAGATGAAGTTTATAAAATACACAAACAGCATTTTAGTAAAGAAAGCTCTTAAAGGACTTATCTTTGAATAAACAGATCATCCAAACTCCCATCTCAGCCATAACTGAAATTTATAGAGAGCAAGGTTTTTACAGTGGCACCTCTTCACAGAGATGAGAAGTGAAATTGCAGTATACACACAAGATTCTGAAATTAAGGGGTAACATGAAAAAGAATTGGGCACAGAACTTAGAGCTGTCTCCACATGTGAGTTAGACTGCACACACAAGTAGGCACATCCAAGTCAATCAGACTATACACACACGAAGAAATTACTTCCATGCATGAAGATCTAGGATATGTTGCAATTAATAGACACTAAGATCTCTTGCCTTTGAGTTAAATGGCCATTCTGATTAGCAGTATCTCTAAATCAGAAAATCCTCTCCTAGATCTCTGTGCCTGCGTTACAGAGGACCCAGGTTCTCTCTTTCAGGCTGCAGAGATTCATCCTTTCCATTCCCATGGTTCCCACATAAGCTCCTAGTCTCAGCAATATGGTGGCTGCCACAGAAAATTAATGCACTGAACTAGCCGAATAAATGCAATCCATTCACTGGAGATGAAGTTTAGAGTTAAAATGTATTACCTTGTGGCTCGATAAAATGACTGACAGAGGGATAGAATACCCAAAGCTGCAGGCTGCCAAAGGTCTTTTTGAAATGCCTAGAAAAGTACTGAATCTCTTGGTAGGGTATCAAGGGAACCTCAGTTAATTTCATAGGCTCATGTTTTAGATCTGTGTAATTCAGTCTCAGAATTAAGCTATTGTACAAAAAAAAAAAGGGGACTTTGAAGCTTTCCACCTCACCAAATTACTTTCCTTGCCAAAATTAAAAGACAATGAAGATTTCTCTTTGCTCGGGGGGGGGGCTG